GAAGAAAAATTGGGGAGGGAAATGAAGGGCCACCTCAATGGTGATGGGTCCTCAAAAAAGTGTGGATCTGGGAGAACATTTCCCTGCAAAACAAAAAGAGGACACCACGATGGGGACAGAAAAATCACAGGAGAAGGGGAGAGTCCTACCTAGTTTGAAAATACGTATGGGTGAAAAAATAGAAACAGAACTGGAAAGGCCTCAAATATCAGGCTAAGGAATTTACATTTTATCCCGCAGCACTGGGAGTTATTCAAGGCTTTTGAGTAAGGTGTTGACATGCTCAGAGCTGTCCTACAGCAGGGCCAAATTTGTAGCTCTGCATGGGAAAAATTCAACGGGGAAGAAGTAAAGCAGAGATACCAGGTGGGGGCAACTTCAGCAGTAACAAAGCATCTAGGACTACTTAGGACTAAGGATAACTCTACTCCTCAGTCATCTGGATTAAGAAAGTGGAATTCATTATAGAGTTGGGAAGAGTCCAAAGGAGTTGGTAAAATATTACCGAAATTGCTCAATATGGTAAGGACTAACTACATGTGGCTTTTCAAATTTAAACTAATTGAAATGAAATAAAATTAAAAATTCAATCCCTCAGTTGTACTAGCCACATTTCAAATGCTAAGAAGCCATGTGTGACTAGTGGCTACCATGATGGACAGAGCAACTATAGAACATTTCCATCATCGTAGAACAGTCTATTAGACAGCTCTACTTGAAGGGGCAGGAATAAAGGACAAGAGGAGACAAGAGGAGAGAAGTTTCCAAAGATTTTGAGCTAGGTATTCCACAGAATTTATAAACCAAAGTGAGAGCGAGTTTAGGAGAAAAGGAGAGGTTGTTTTGGAATTCGTGACTTGAAAGTGGTTTCCGGGACCCTCATATAGAAAGAAACAGCAAAGCTGGGAACTGAGGAGCCTCTGAACACAAGCTGGAACTAGACAGAAAGAATCGGAGGTCAAGATACATGACAAGACAATGAGAAAGCACAGGAACACCAGCAAAGGAGATTATAAAGAATCATGAAGAATATTTATATTTAAGTAATGGGGAACAGAGAAAGAGATAGAGCAAATGTGACCAGGGAGGCGGAAATGGGCCCAGAATAATTCTGTCCACAAAGCTTAAAAGAAGAGAGAAAGGGAAAAAGGTTAACAGTGTCAATTGCTTTAGAAAGGATAATATAAACCAAGACTAATGAGCCCTTGAATTTACTGAATAGAGGTCCCTGCTGATCTCTGAGTGAGCAGATGCAGTTCCACAATGAGAATGAGGAGAAAAAAGGTAGGAGCAGGAGCCACAGGTAAGTCTTCCAGAAGTCTGGCCCTACATTCCTAACACCGCTGACAGAGCTCTGCCCAAGTGGGCTGCCTGGCCACACAGGCCCTGTGCTTGGCTTTGATTTCACTCAAGGTACTAGCTCCTCTTCTACTCCTACATTCAGATTTCCCGGTCCCGTATGTTCAGTTATGATGAACTCATCCCTGGCCATGGGCCCAGGTTTCCAACTGCCTCTTGAATGTTTCCATCTGGGTGTTCCCAACAGTCACCTCAAACTCAAAAAAGCTAAATCTCAATTCATCTTCTCATTCCCTATAGCTGTACTTCCTCCTGGGGTCAAATCTAATCACCCAAGTAGTAAACCTGAGGCTCTTCCTAGATACTATCCTCTCTAAGGCTTCTTTTCCACATGCAAACCAACCATCAAGCCATGACTATTTAACCTGCTTAGTATTTTTTTAAAGCTAACTTTTGCTCTGATCAAAATTTCTGGATCACTGCAGTATAATCTCTCACTTAGATTACTGCAGAAAGACTCCTACTGTGCTCCTGCCTCCAAGAACTTCTCTACTAGAGGTCCCAACACGTTTTATCTAAAATATATATCTGACCATACAGCGCTCCCCTGTTTAAAATCCTTCAGTAGCTTCCTTTCATAATAAAGGCCAAGACTTGAGCATGCTATAAAAGGTCCAATGAAATCTATTCCCTAATTTTATTTTCACTCTCATCTTTCTCTACTTCCCATTGCAGAAATGTCCAACAACACAGCTATTTCTTAGCTACTTACTCCCACTGGACCCAATGCCTTAACTTCTCTACATATCAACCTTTCCATACAACTCTATCATCCTGAACCTGGCTCTTATTCACCCTTTAATACTCAGTTGGGAAAACTTCCCTAACTCTCTCCTCACTCCCAGTTTTGTTAAGTACTCCCCCCAGGAGCTCCCATAAATACCCTGTGACTACTGCTGAATTTATTTGTCTCTTCTATCAAACTACTATATCACCGACTTGAGAACTAAGGAATTTCTCCTACTGGCTTTCTGTTATCAGTGCCTAGACCAGGCTTGACTGACACATAGCAGGCTCCAATAAAATTTTCTGGAATAAATGAGTAAATAAGTAAATAAATGAAGATATTAAGTGTAAGTCCTAAATAGGGCCTCTTCTATTTCAGTAGTATTTATTATTATTATTATTTAAAATAAATGCCTAAAGCTCATGGCAAAAATGTCCGCAACTAATCATAACCCAAGAAATAGTGACGATAGGCAGGCAGCCCATGTATATGTGAAAAGGCCCACTATGTTCAACATGTCATCTGAATATCAGATCCTACAGTTGTGTCAAGAGACCAGAGAATCCTCATCAGAGTGGATATGTCTGGGAAATTCTCCTAGAGGTTATGTTACAGAAAGTAAAGAAATCCCTCAAGACATGAATTTTATCTGTAACCAAATTGAAGTCTAGGCTACAGGGACAGCTTATTCACATCACAAGTTTATTCTGGAGATGAAATAAAGTTAAGGGCACCCTCCTCTCCCAAGAAAATTATTTTTTGAATGTGAGTTCACCAAGGGCAGAGGCAGAGTTTTCACATCGTCATGTCTTCACAAAACCCAGCACACAAATGTATATATATGAATAAATATGTGTAAAAAAGTTATCACAGTTCTATGAAAATATCCAATGCCAAAGATGGCCCTGCCTACCACCTTCAAACTTAGAAATGAATTATAAAAGAAGCATCTCCTCTTCACATCTTTTCAAAACATTACTCTTGATAATTATATTCGAGAGAGTTAATAGTTTTTAATTCCTAACCTGCATCAAGTTATAATTTAATGAAAATAGTGATTTATAGTGCCACTTTGAAACAAAACTGCAAATTATAAGTATTCAGATAGGTACCTTATATTGTTTTGAATGGATTTCAATGAAATTAAAACATGAAAGAAGCATTTATGACAGGAAATACTGCAAGATTATGCCCTGGGTCTCCTTCCCTGGACCAGAAAAGAGTGAAGTCTATAAAACTGTGGGCATTTGTCTGGTTAAAGTTTCCCGACTTAACACCCTCCCAGAGATCAGTGCAAACCGGGAAGGTAGACATCGTCAGTCAGCATGCTCTGCCCCCAAGGCTGGTTGCAAACCCAGGCTTCTAACCTGATCCCACAATCCTGTCTTCTGTGCCTCTTATGAAGCTAAAATCTTGTTTTATCCACTGATGTCCCTGGAAGGTGAACTTGAGGAATGTTACAGCCCAGTGGTATCAGACTACTGACAACAAAGTTATCAGTTC